CTGTGGAAAGCAATACGGAGATATCTTAAAGAGATACAACTAGAACTACCATGTGATAAATTCTTGAACAGAGTGCTATTGATTCTTCAAATTTTCACCCATGACTTGAAGTCGTTTGTGTAAACTACAAGTGGCAAGTAAAGTCAGAACCTACCAGGAAGGCCATCAAGAAATCAGATTGAAACAGAGAGAAGAACATGGGGTTTCAATCAGCAGACCTATTCTTTCTACTTGTCACTTTGGCAAGACCCTTCACCTCACTGAGTTTCAGTTTTCTGAACTATTAAAATGATGATGATGAAAATACTATCTACCCTTCACCACAGAGTTGTTGTGGGGATCCAATGAGTTAATATGCATAAAAACCCATTTTAATTGTTATATACAACAAAAATAATCACTATGAAACTATAGTTGAGCATATTTATGTTTATCACTTTTCATTCTTTTTTGGCTATCAAAGAAGCACAGGGATCAAATTTTGCCTTAACTTAATACAAACCTGCAACTGAATCATAATTAGTCTAATTTCTAAAAAACTTTTCTGTTGTAACAGGCAAGTAATTCTACCAAAGTCCTTGAAAATTGCTTTGACATTAATTCATAAAAGTCCAAACACAAAAAGCAGATTGCATATAGTCAGCCTGCAAAGTTTTTTTGCCTATATATTTATGGTTTACATAACAGTCTTCCCTCCTTCTCCAAAATCTTGGTATATATTCTCAAACAACAAGAACAAAAAATGCTTCCTGATTGTTACTTGTTTGCTTCCTGTTTCTGACTCTAATTTTGGAAAAGTTTAGGAATAGTAAAATATCACAATTTATGTTCCTATATGAAAATATAGGTATAGTCTTAATAACATAGAAAAATGAAGAAAGTGTGGAAGGAAACACTAGAAACTAAAATCAGTGGTTGTCCGTGGAAAATGGGGCAACTGGGAAAATGGGCAACATGTGAGGGAAGCAGGCTTTTTTCATTGTATATCTTTTAATTTTTTGGTTTTTGAAATATTTGAATATACAGCTAAGTAAAAAATTTTTAAAACAAGGTAAAAAAGTAGCACTTTTTATCTTTTAGATAGAATATTTTAGTATAATTTTGTATAATTAAATAAGTATAAGTAAGTTAAGTATGATATTAAAACATTATTTGTTGTTTATATGAAATTCAAATTTAACTTGGCATCTTGCATTTCACCTTACAAAGTAAACTACCTCCACCCCATGTTCTCTTGCTGTTTTATTTTTTTCCCCTTTTATCTTTAGTTCACATGTAATAATTCTACATATTTATGGGATGTACAGTGATATTTCAGTACTCATATATAATATATAATGATCAAATCAGGGTAATTAGCATATCTGTCTCCTCAAACATTTATTGTTTCTTTGTGTTGTGAACATTCAAAATCCTCTCTTCTAGCTTTTTGAAAAATTCAATAAATCATAATTGTGTTCACCCTATGGTACTGCAGAACACCAGAACTTATTCCTCCTATCTAGCTGTAATTTTGTACCCAGTAACCAACCTCTCTCTATCCTTCCCTCTCTTCTTCCCAGCCTCTAATACCCACAATTCTCAATTCTACTCTACTTCCCTGAGCTCAAAATTTTCTTTAGCTGCCACATATGAGTGAGAACATGCAGTATGTATCTTCCTGTGCCCGATTTATTTTGCTTAACATAATGTCCTTCTGGCTCATCCATGTTACTGTGAATGGTAGGATTTCACTCTTTTATAAAGCTAAATAGTATTCCATTGTGTATATATACCATGTTTTCTTTATACACTCATCTGTTGATGGACATTTAGGTTGATTCCCTATCTTAGCTATTATGAATAGTGCTGCAATAAACATGGAGGTACTGGTATCCCTTTGATATGCTGATTTGCTTTCCTTTGGATAAATACATAGTAGTGGGATTACTGAATTGCATAGTAACTGTATTTTTAGTTTTTTGAGAAACGTCCATAATGGTGTACTAATTTTCATTCCCACCAAAGAGTTCCCTTTGCCTCCAGCATTTGTTACTTTCTGTCTTTTTGATAGTAGCCATTCTAACTTGGATGAGATCATATCTCATTGTGGTTTTGATTTGCATTTCTCTGATAATTAATGATGTTGAGCATTTTTTCATGTTTGTTGGCCATTTGTATGTCATCTTCGAAGAAATGTCTATTCAGTTTCTTTGCCCATTTTTAAATTGGATTATTTAGTTTTTTTGCTGTTGAGCTGTTTGAGTTCCTTGTATGTCCTAGACATTAGTACCTTATCAAATGAATACTTTGCAAATCTTTCTTAGTCTGTTTTGTGTTACAATGAAGAAATACCTGAAGCTGGGTAATTAATAAATTTTTTAAAAAGGTTTATTGGCTCACAATTCTGATGGCTGCAAAGTTCAAGATTGGGCATCTGCATGTGATGAAGGCCTTAGGTTGCTTCCACTCATGGCAGAAGGGAAAGGGGAGATGCTGTGGTGCAGAGATCACATGGTGAGAGAGGCAGTAAGCTAGGGGGAGGTACCAGGCTCTTTTTAACAACCAGCTCTTGTAAAAACTGGTAGAGTGAGAAGTTACCCCTGAGAGAGAGCATTAATCTATTCATGAGGGATCCACCATCATGACCCAAACACCTCCCATTATGCCCCAACACTGGGGATCATGAAGTTGGATGGGGACAAACAAACCATGTCCAAACCATAGCAATTGGATTATTTAGGGTTTTTTTTTTTTCTGTCAGGTTGAGTTCCTTATATATTCTGGATATTAATCCCTTATTGAATCAATAGCTTGCAGATATTTTCTCCCATTCTACAGGTTATCTCTTCACACTGCTAATTGTTTCCTTTGCTGTGCAAAAGCTTTTCAGTTTAATATAGTCTCATTTGTCTGTTTTTGGTTTTGTTGTCTATGCTCTTGAAGCCTTAGCCATACAATCTTTGCCTA